TACAACTGATGAACAGACGTGTAACACACACAGACTGTCTCACAGAACAGAAGGAACTACTCCTCGGAGTGGCTGGAGTGAGCTGATTGCACCTGAGGAGGGAGGAGAGTTCGCTAGGACAGCCGGGCACGAGAAGGATTTTGGGGAGGTGAGAAATGGTGAGAAAGGCATCCTGGGCAGATCACTGACCACGCGCAGGCACAATGTTAAGGCACAGAATGCTCCAGAAAGACCGTGGATGACTTCTGTATGGCACAGGAAGAAGAGGGAGTGGCAGGTGAGGTGAGAAAGGTGGTCTGTGGTCAGATGCTGGACGGCTGACTGTCCAGCCGAAGAGAGTGGACTCTATTCTAGGCAATGAAGAGCTACCACGCACTTTCTAAAGCAGAGTGACCGTGTTAGAACTGCAGTTTAGGAAGACAGTCGTCTGGCATTGCCGAGGGTGGGCTGGAGAAAGGAAAACCTACCCAAGTAGGCAATGGAGCCTCCTTCAGGTTACTATTATTCTTCGAGCCAACTTGAAGTAAGATACTATGTAACTAAAATGTATGTTAATAAACTTTACTATATATTGTACATGCAGTCCAAAATAAAAAGGGCAGAAGAAAAGCCAGATCTCCTCAGTGCAGAGACTCACAGAAAACAACAGGAGAGAATAATCATCTCTAGCACTCTAACAGAGGACTCTGCACTAACGTTTAAGATCTGCATTTTTCTCAGAAATCGCACATAAAAAATTTGAAAACGCTTTATACCACTTAAAAAGCAGACATAAATAAAACAATAATGAAAGACTGACCCTCTCCAACCAAAACCTCCACCAGAACACGAGAGCCCATGACACAGGGAGAGAGGGGTTTGGGATCGCCGTTCTGAACCTATACCCGAGGATGAGTCTTTCTTCCGCTTGCAGAGCCTAGAAACCCGCGAGCTCACCTTCACAGCAACGAAATTATCCCGTGCTCCTTGATGAGTCGTGCGGGTGAAAGAAGTAGCCTTCAAGTTTATGTTTCCCCCCCTTTTCTCTGTCTACTCTCCACACTGCAGCCCCCCAGGGCTCTTCAGAGCTGCCCTCTCCTCCTCACACCTTCCCTTTGATGTCACCGGCCTTTATGGTTTTCACTAACACACGGAGTCCTGAAATCTTTCCAGAAGAGTCCCTGAGTGTGCTCCTGAGCTTTGATCTCCTGTACCTACCTGCCTGCTGGCCACACTTCAAACTCAGCAGGCCTACACTGAACTCCTCCCCTCCCCTGTCTATGCCCCAGACCTGCTGTCCTAGATCCCGAGTTCAGTTAGACACCACCATGGTACCCCAGCCAGAGCAGGGGCCCAGCAGTCATCCCAGGTTGCTTCGTCACACTGCCTGCTCTGCTCCCACCACCTCTACCTCAACTCAGGCCTTCGGTATCTGCCTCCTGCGACGTACCTGCAGGGCCCCAGCACACTTCATCTCAACCTCCCAGTCCGCGTTCTGCACTGTCAAAAGCCTTCCATCGAAAGCTCCCCACCACCGGAAGCACCCAGTACCCCAGGAGTGACCTACAAAGGCTCTGTATCGCCTGGCCCCGATCCACTCTCACAGGTGCCCCTCCCCACCTCAACTTCTACCATGGAAACATGGAGAGCTAAGCAATTTGAGCTGTAATACAAAAACTACTTGCAGTTCTCCACTCGTAGAATGCTCTTTTCCATTTCTGTGCCTTTCAAAGTGCTGTTCTACCTAAACACTTTCTCTTCTTACCTATTCCAAACTCCGAAAAGTCTCCCGAGGCTGCCTTCAGGCGTCCTCTAAGAGAACCTCCCGAGCTCCCCGGCTGGGCCGAGTGCCCCGCTGTGTCCCGAGGAGACACTTTCATCCAGTCACTCACTACAGTTAAAAAGATGTGTTTGCTTGTCTCTCTCAGCAGAATGAGAATCTTCAGCACACGAACTGCCTTTGCCTGCTCAGAGTTCGGTGCCAGGTGAGACAGAGCCGACAAACAGGCCAAGCCTTAGTATCAGGACCATGTAAAACCCTAACCCTAAAAGTTGAGGCTGTTAGTCCCCAAACCCCACAACACCCACTGCACTCCCATAAATATGGTACAGGGTGAAATAATAAGAAGAGATTCTGCGATAACCATTTATTGCCTGGCTTAGAGAGGTGAAGCAGAAAAATCGTAGGTAGACCTGTGCCCTAAATGCAGGGTAGAGAGCTAGAGTCCAATACGGCTTTATCAGCTGTGTCAGAGGCCTTCCACAGTCCTCTGCAGTACCTGAATAAACCAAGCACAAAATGCACGCTCAGTGTGAAGGCTCCCCCAGGTCATCCCGCTAGTCCACGGGGTCTCAAGCTGCCGTTAGAATCATGTCAGGGGCTTTTTTAAAAAACACTGATGCCCAGGCACATCCCATAAGAACGGCATCAGAATCTCTGAGAAGGGGCCTCAGCCTGGGCATGCTAATTTACAGAATCTTTTCCAGGTGCTTTAATTGTGCCCTAGGATTGAGAACACTGCTTTTCCCACCCCAGAGTCTAGAGGCCATAGTGGGCGCACTCGCAGAGCAGTGAGCATCCCTTCAGGTTTTTAGTCTGTGGCTGTATCAGCGAAAAACAGATTCAAAGCTTTAGGAAAGGCTCCTAATCCTAATGTTTTAGCATTATAAACGGTTCCTTGGAGAGACCTACTAGCCCCACAAAAATCTACCACCCAGGGGCAGGCAATGAGAGAAATCTAGCGTGCTGGGGACAGTTTTAGGAACGCTCTTAACACCCAGCTCACAGCCATGAAAGTTCCTCAAGGACTGTGGATGAGCTGTATCATCCAAATACATTGCTTTCAGGTTCATTTATTCATCCGCCTCTTTTATGACTACAAGCACTCTTTACTATTAACCACAGTAGCAGAGTATCGTGGCTGGAGTTAAAATAACTAATGTGAAAGGATTCCATATTAATCCGTATTTGGAAATTTCTCTTAAAAAAAGAGCTCATTTAATACTTAAGATTAGAGAAAATCTCCTGATAGTGTAAGTTAGAGATGATGCTCTCAAACCACTAAGTAATGGGACTCAAAACTTGACTTGAGGACAACAAAGGAACTTTCTCCAATGAGGAGTTACAGAATCCCTAAAGTCAGCCCTGTCGATCAATTACAATAAAATTTTGCAAAATTAAAAGTAGCTGATATCCACAGCCCTCAAAAGTGGCAGACTACATGGTATTTCTCCACTTCCAAAACTACGCCTGGACTTATAATAACTGTTTTCTCTGCAAGCCCAACCAAATCAAAACAGCTATTAATTCACAACCAGGAAAGAGAACAAAAAGTTATCTTTGATCAGCAAAACATTGAACTTGTTTCTTAATCATTAATAAAAATAGGAAGTATGTAGCTTACAAAAAGTTTTCTAATTTGTTTCATATTTCTCCATTATCAGAGGTAAGAATCTGAATAGTTAACAGCATGTGAAACCGTTACACATTAGAAGGTGGTCTATGAGTAGAGAGAGATTAGATACAAGGACAAGGTTAATGCATTTGCACTGCACAGTTATCAGTAGTCAGTTCCATTGGGCCAGGAACTCTGTCAGAGAAATACGGTATCACAGAGCACTGGTAACAGATTTAAGGGTGGTCCTGTTTGGCTTCTTACATAATTTCACGCCCAGGTGGCTGGGATGGTAGTTTAACCACAAAGAAGCCGTTATCAGTTCTAATTACATCTGGACAAGTATCTTCAAATAAACATCGTACAACCTACATCCACGTCTACCATCAATCAGCTCGGTAAAATAACGGCTACTGAACTAAATTAAGATATTAAAGTCTTGATCCATTTAATTAGATGTTGATTCTCTGCCAACAGAAGCAGAAAAAACAGCATGAAACTCTGAAGGTTATGAAAACGATTTGATGACTACAAAGACATTAACTTCAGAGACGATTTGGAACCTTACCAGCACTTAATCCATCACGGCGCGCAAGGACAAACTAACTGCGGCGCTGCTCTAATCAAACGACCAACTCCCTACAGACCTGCAGCCCGGGGCAGGATTTCACAGAAATCCTCTAACTGGCATAAAATGAAGATTCACTGGGGTACTTTTGAAACCGAGCCATTCAGAGACGTGCTCTACACGCTGCGGTGCACACAGCCACTCGATTGTCAAAAACCGAGAAAGCTATTTGGGGCACGTGGCCTCCCGCCCCGTCTCCCTGACACTTTTCTTTCTTAGTTCTTCATAAGGGGCTACGTTTTCTTGGAGGCCGAAACCGGGGAGCAGGGGCCCATGTTCGGAAGGGACTCGTTGTCTTTCGGACAGATCGCAGAGTTTGGGAGACACTCAGGCCACGCCCGCAAACCGCTACGCGTGTTTAAACGAACTCGCAGGGAGAGAGCCGCCGGGGCAGAAGGGCGGGCGTGCCGGCGGCTCCCAGTCCGGCCCAGGGGCGCGCTGGGGGCGCGCGCGTCTCAGCGTAGACTTTCGGCTCCGGCCGCACGGCGGAGGCTGGCTGGCTGGCACGCGCTCGGGGCCGCCCCGTCGCGCCCGGAAGGTGCGGGGTGGCCGCGGCGCCTTCTCAGCGGCCCCTCCGGGTGAGGCCCAGGGACCGAGCACCAGGCCCCGAAGCCCGCCAGGACCCGGATCCCCGCAGCCCGGAGACTGGGGAGGAGGGGGACCCGAGAGCGTGACTTCAGCCCTTACCATGGCGTAGGCGGCGCGTTTCTCCGTGGCCAGGCCTGAGCTGGGGACGAGGGGCGGGGCTCGCCCACGATTTAATTTTGGCGCCAACCCCGCCCAGGGGCGGGGCAATGGAAGGGAGGGTGTGGGAAAGAGACCGACCCTCTCCCCGAAGGCGCGCAGCGACCCCTGGTGGCCCCGCAGAGAGGCCACCAGGGGTGTGGTGGGATCTCCGTGTCAAGTTTCGTTGAGGTATTGCTAGCTTCCACAAATTCTAGAATATTCATTTCCTTCCACTAGAAAACAGAGTATATTAAATAAACATTCACCCTGGAAACGGAGAAAACAAGCTTTATTAAAATGATTTGAGATTTTTTGTGCATGGTAAAGATAATACACATGAATCTTGTTTCTCCTATGTTTCAAGACAGAATTAAAGTTTTATTGTAGACTAAAGCATCCAAAATACTGTGGTACGTATGTAGCTATGAACATACAAACACTTCGATGCACAGCGTTTATTCTTTTCTTTAAATAGGCAGTCAGCATTTTGATTCATAAAAGAACAAATGAGCATATATCAATCAGTATCGATGAGTGCAAGGCGTAGTGTTCTATACACAAAACGTATGAAACAGACCTATAAAGATGGAATGTACAAAATTTAAAAAGAAAATAAAGGAAGCAAAACATCTTTATGCTCATACATAGGATTGAAAGGCTGTAGAACTGAGAATGATGTAAAGAATCCTATTACAAAAACACACTCTCGATGACAGAACATTCCATGTCATAAAGCAAAAGCGAGTTTAAGGCTGCGCTGCTTTCAAAGGTCCATGAAAGTGCTGTACATTCATTGGAACAACAGAGCCAATTAATTCATCGGCTTTAGAATATTAGTAGCTTTCATACGTTCTCCACAAACAAACCTCACAATCACTGCCACACAATTCATCTTCAGAAAGTTTATTAACACCATGATTTGTAGCTTACTGTCATTTAAAACAAACAAAAAATTATTTATTTATACCAAGCAAATCTTTAATGGGCACTTAGATCCTTTATGGCAATACTAGATTCCTAGTTATCAAAAATATTAAAATAATTGTAAAATTTAAAACCCTGCAATGTTTACAGAATGCAACAGTATTACAACTTTCGGGTCTAAGCAAAATTAGATAATGTTTGCAGCAAATAGCTTTAATTTTGTCCTACCTGGAAACGTCTTTTTAAAAGTTATGAAACTAAAAATACTCCTCCCTTTCCAGAAGCTGGTGAATAGAGAGGATACTATAGAGTCCAAACGTACAAAGGTTTTTCCCATTTGAAGCAATCTGCAGAGGACCTGATGTTTACTTGGCATTCCTTCCAATGAACTCAGGAGGCATTGCCAAAGCATTTACGTGAACCCTTTAATGCGGAGGGTCCATTGTCACTTGCTAGCGTACCACTGTTCCAGTTCACTCCATGTTAGGACATACCCTGTATATTTAGTAGCAGGAGCAAGTGTGTTCTAGTTGTATGGACCTGTAGTATTTATTTGCCTCAAATCTAGTCAAAGAATAAATAAAAATAAGGAACTAGGGGGCTTGTTTAGTTATTGGAGACAAAACTTTGATCAAGATACTAAGTACCATTAAAAAATGGTGAACAGTCATAAAGGCTTTGTATTCGTGTGTTTCTGAATGGTCAAGTGACTCTCTACCACCCCATGTCCAGCAGGGGAGGTCCGTATCAGGAGAGAATGCAGTGCCATTGACCTTTACATTCTAACTGGCAATATTTTACCCTAGTGCCCAGGGGAAATTTGAATGGGTAACTTTTCAGTGCTACTTATCATGAGTGTATGACAGGTTCTGTACACTTGACAAAGAGAAATCAAGCAATAATGGGAGCCCAGAAACAAAGTCACTTACTTTAATATCCTTCTCAGTTTACCAGAAACCATTTTCCATAGAATGTGACGAAATTTCACTTAAATCTTGCCTATTTGTATCTCAGCAGCACTTTCCCCCTAAAATATGCTTACCAGGAAATACAGTAAATGCACATATGTATCCAAATATGAAATGTTACGTATATTTTAACATATATGATTATATATGGGGGGGGGAATATAGTGTTTCCTGGAGTGCCCTTAGCATGTGTTTTAGGAACAGATAAACAGGTCTGAATCAAAGTATCTATTCTTTCATTCCAGTTTGCGCCAATATTGACATGTAAAAAAAATTAGCTTTGTCTTCAATCTACTAGTTGAGATACTCAGCATGATCCGGTATGATGGCTGGTTAATTTATAAATTCACACATGTAATTTAAATGTGCAAAAAAAAAACCCTTTAAGTAAACTAGTCTTAGGTTCAATAGTTTGTGACAAATCTAAATAGGAAGCCATTTTTACTTGTGAAAATAAGCTAAAATTAATTTAACCAATTTAAAAAGTTTTCTTTTAAATAGTCTAGGAGCTATCAAAAGCCTAGCTTATCGAAATATGCAGAAGAGTAATAAAGGGCAAGATGCAGAATATCAATAAAGGGCAGAATATTACTAGAGGGCAAGATGAAATTCCCTCCCTAGAGGGTAAGCTCCAAGAGGGCAGGGCGTTGTCTGTTTCCTCCGTCTCTATGTCCCCAGGGCCCGGGAGAGCTCCCGGCGCCTGGCAGGCACTTGTTACATATGAGCATCTATCGTCAAAGACTTATTTCACTAATGCTAGGAAACAGGATCTTAACGCTCTAAAAATGTTATTGAATTTTACAACTTTATCACAATCTTAAATATTTTGAAGACTCTACCTAACTAAAAAAGTACTAAATCTAAATGTAAATCTTTCTGAAAATTTTTTTCAGAGGTTGATTTGGGCATAAATTTGATAGACAATGGGAAGTAACTAGATTTCCTTTTTAAATTTAAAAATTCCTACAGAAGAGAATCACTGAATTATAAATTAATGAGCGATAAACATCACATTCATATAATTATACATATGGGCCATGTTTTCTTACAGTACAGTTCTAAGGTGCTTTCAGTGAAAAAGATCCCAAAGTCATTACTGAAAATGCCAAACATGACATCCTATTTGGTAGGACTGAGTAGAAAATTAAGCAGTGAAAATAAATCACATCTTATTTTACAGTCTCAATGGCAGATTAATTATTGACTAAATTATTCTGAACATTTTGCAAAATGCATTTATATGTCCTTTCAAAGTAACTCAAGTTCAACTGTTCTCTTTTGACCTGTTTTTGGTTTTTGTGTTTATTTTTGAAAGACCAGAAGGTCATTTTCTGATGCGAAGTCAGCTGATACCATCATGCCTAGAAAACGGCAAAAATTCGATCTGCTTTAGGGCTTGTTCTGCGAGGACGGCCGCAAGCTGCTCTGCAAAGGAATGTGCTGAAGAAAGGCTGCGTGATGCTCCTGTCTTTCCGAGTGCTGCCTATGTCAATACACCGAAGATTCAGCTATATATATATAGATATATATGATACATTCTACCTTACCCTAATCATGTATACATAGTCCTTTAATGCCTCTACTATTCATTAGACAACGATAAATAACCATAACATGCCCTTACCTGTAATGCTTTCACAACTTTGGTAACACTTGCTTTCTAAGGGGAAACCGTTACTCAACCACATGCCTTTGGTTGACACCATCCGTCCTCCAAAGGGCTACTTATGGCTCTCTGTCCTAGGATACTGGTGTCCTATTACATGTGCTGACATTTTGCAGGAGGTAATCCTTTCGCTTTCATGAAGTGGAAGAGGAGAGACACATGTGAGAACATGGCACGTAAAACATGACTAACTTTCTCTTTATTACATTCCAGTGCATGGACCTGGAGTTGGGCTGTTTACCAGCAGGTACCATTACTATTATAATATGCTTTTCAAAGCATTAGGAATTTCAGGTTTCCCTGAAAATGTACTTTGTTTTTGATACAAGGTGAGCAGAAAAGAGAAGGTGAAAAGAACACACACACATACAAATCTTTGATCTAACCTGGGAAGGATGGAGAATCTGCATTTATTTTTAAGTGCTAAACTCAGAGGCCTGCTAATCACAGGTGAGAGGATTTTGTAAGACAGTCTTATTTGTTTTCCTACAGTGATTTATATGTAGTTGTTGATAACCAAAAAAATGTCACAAGAGTCATACCTAGTGTAAAAGTGAGGTTCGAAGGTCCCCAGGTCTTGTGACTGAGGTTAAAGTATATAACTACAATAGATTTTGTTTTCGTTTTGTTTTTGGAAGCTCTGTGCAAAGGCTACCATTCACTGGACTAACAGATACCTTTAAATCTTCTAGGTTTTCTTTTAACGCTTGTTTGATTTGCAAAATTAGTTTAACTACATAAATCCCTGTCCTATAAGCCATAGATCACAGGTGTGAAACTTTGCAGTTTTTATAGATTCAGTAGACGAGATCTCTCTTTTTTTTTAACCCTAAAGGTCAATTACAGAAATCAGATATGCAGTTTTTAAGGAAATTATTACATTCAGAAATAACCTTGGAAAGTTCACCAATGATTCCTTCTAGCATGAAAAGTCTAGTGTAATCTGGTCCCGCGCTGAGAAATCCATTCCAGTTTATAGTGCAAGACCTTTGGAAGGGGCGGTCCAGCTGCCCACCGTCACTGTAAGTACCGATAGACCTTGAAACAGTGGTTCCCAGAGTCTGCGACCACAACGTGGCCGTCTGAAGTCAGGGCCAGGCCTTGGGGGCCATAGAGGGGGTCAGCGGATGTGTTGATGTAGGACAAGAATGACCCACTTCCATCAAAAACCTGTCAAAAATATAGAGTCAGAGTGTTATAGGAAAAGCTGAAGGAATATTAGGACATAGGAGCTAGAAAACTCTTGATGCCAATGTGGTTAATAAAATAGAAGCCTGTGCATAATCCCCTAGGTATAGCCAGGGCAAGACTGTACTACATTTTGACTAGAGTAGTATGTGTGCTTTTGGAACCAACACATTAAACAACAAGAAACAGCGATGGGTCTAATAAGAACTTTTTGTTGTGAAGTAGTGAGCATAAATGATAACTTGAGATGTTTGCAACTATATGATTTCTCTGGATGACAAACATAAATATTACAGAAAGTACTGTGATTATTGCCTATATTCATAAATAAAGCAAATGACAACTTTTAATCAGAAGTTAGTAAAAAAATCATATAATATTTCTGTTCAATGGACCTCATGAATTCTATCCACAGACCCCTTTGGGGGTCTGTGGGATCCATGTTCAAAATGCCTGGTTTGGAGGGTTTACTCTGGTAATATATTACCTTTCAAAAAATTATTAAATGTATTGGGGTGACACTGGTTAATAGGACCATATAGGTTTCAAGTGTACATTTCTATGATACATGATGTGTGTATGACATGTGTGCCCACCGCCCACAGTCGAATCATCTCCTGTCGCTGTGTGGCAGGCCCCTCTCCGCCCCCCACGCCCCAACCCCCCACACTCTTCCTACTCCTCCTTCCTTAGTTGGGCACTTCTTATGAGATTATCTATGGTCTTGTGACCCGGCCAAATGAAGAACAAAAAACGTTGAGATTTGGGGACCACTAATTCTCCACTTTTGACAAGCACCAATCCTGCCACACGAATAGGTGAGCCCTTGAACCTGCCTGGATCCTGCTGTTGCCCCAGTCGGCCACGATGATGTTGCCGTTGGAGTCCACCGCCACGCCCGTCGGGGCGTTGAACTGCCCGTTCCCCTCTCCGTTCGAGCCGAACTTCAACATGAACTCTCCTTCCTGATTGAACACCTGTGTGAAGTGTTTTTAAATTGTTTTATTTTAAATGAAAATAGTTGAGGCAACATTATGGATTTAAAAACCCCTATTGGAGCAGGTTGTTTATAACAAGACCTATGATGTCAGACATGCTTTTCAAAGATCTACAAACTAAAGCCCGTATTACTTGTGGTTTCTCAACTTATCAAAGAAATCTGATGTATTATTTGTTAACTCAATTTTTTCTAGCTTATATCTGGTTAGTGAATACTTATATAAAAACACTTCCATTATAAATTATAAATCTATACAAATGTAACATAGTATGAGAAAGCAGAGCTATAATGTTCAATATATTATTATGTCTGCCTTTAAATAAATACCTAAACTTCAAGAAGCATTGTATTTCTAACAGGATGGATAATGATTCGGAGCTGGGTCAGAAAGTAGGAGGCTTTTGTTAGGCCAGATGCTCAGAATTTATTACCATTTTACTAAGTCAATACAAGAAGGAAGAGTAGGCAGGACTTAAATCATAACAGGGGAAATGGACTGTGTGTGAGAGAGAGAGACACACACACCCAGACAGAGAGACAGACAGAGGTGGCAGTAGGTGTGTGTTTTCAGAATATATTTTAGTTAAAATAGAGTTTCTATGGCCCTAAGGCTACGGAGAGAAGGGAGGTGGACAGAGTAGAGAAGCAAACAGAACTCGTACACAAGTTCTCTAATCTGATACGGCCAAGCAGTGCAGTGTTGCAGTTAATTAAATATTCTTATTACTATTATCACTAGAATGTTACTGTATATGCATCCAATACAGATGACTGATTTTGAGAGAATGAATGTGTTTAATAAGACTCTAGTACGCATAATTTTATCTTGATGATTCAGATGATACTCAATGATTCTGAAATGTCTCCAGGATATTATTTTAAGCTCGCATTATTATGCAGCCTCCACGTACTGAAAGACTCATTAGCAATCTGCAAGTATTACAGGCAAAGCACCAGGAGAGGAAGGGTTCCTCCAAGGAGAAATGGAGGGAGGGCACTACATCGGAGTGCAGATCGAATGTGAGGATGATCCTGGGGCCTTTCAGCGATTCTCCTACTGCCATCTCCGTGGTCGGCAAGGCTTAAAGTGACTCTCTTTCAGTCACCTATATTGGGAAAGTGAGACACTTCAGTCCCTAAGTAGCTAAACTTAAAGATAAAAAAAGAAGAGTCATGACCACTTCCTGAATCGACCACCTCCTGAACTAATTACTTACTTGCCAAGTAAGCAAGTTACCTCTGTGCTTCTTTGCAAAAGACAAAGACAAGAACAAGATTTTATGAGTTGGCCAAAAAGTCTGTTACATTTTGTCCATAAAATAAAAGACACATTTTTCATTTTCACCAATAACTTTATTGATTTGGATACTTTGAGTATGTCAGCTCTCTCCTGCTATTGCCTTCTACTGGGTAGAGGCCCGGGGTGCTGCTAAACATCTTCCGGTGCATACGACAGCCCCACAGCAAAGGAGTATTTGGCCAAAAAGTCCACAATACCAAGAAACTTTGCAAACCAATTTTGACACGTTCTATCAGTCACAACACCTTCTCCACATACTGCACAAATCCTTTTTTGCATTTCAGTTGCATTTTTACTTTTCTTTAAATAAAAAAGTATAATACACCAAAAATGTTCTGTGTTTTCTCCCATCTTCAGTATTAAAATGGCTATACAAAAATTGACCAATTTTGATCATTTTTTAAATGTATGCTGATATGACAGCTATCACAATGCAACCTAACAAAATTGTAGAGTAGAGTTAAAGACAACTAGGCACTACCAGAGCCATTACATGGAAAAAACAAACTTTTTGGCCAACTCAATACTGAGATACCATGTTTCAAAGATCTCTCCTGACTACATTTATCTCCCTTCACATAAAACACTCTAATTTTAAAGAGCAATCAGAGTGTCTGTATGCAGGTGAGGATCCAATTTATCGTTCTCTGATCCTTTCTTTAAGTCCTACAAATAATCCTTTTGTTGTCTTCTTTGTATTTATCTCTCTGAGTCAGTAGGTTTTCCTTGGCACAATTTCAATGCTTGGGCGCTTTTGCGTCATTTTGGAATGATGGATGATGCCAAATGGACTCTTAATTGTTTTGCCACTAAAAGAAAATACATAACAACGGTAGCTAGAGAATTAACCAGACCACTTGTGAGCCCTGACCTAAAGGTATAGTGTTTACATTTATCAGGAGAAGTGACTTGAATCCAGACCTATTGCCAACTGCTCTGTGTTATATGGAAAACAAACAAACAAACAAACAAAAAACCAGACCCAAAACTCCAACTAGCCATAAAAGTTATATGGCAATGGTTATCAAAGAGAAGACAAAAAACAAAACAAAAAAAGAGACTGATTTTAAGTAAGAGGAAAATTGAATTTAACTAAAATAATCTACCTCTACTGTACTGGAAACATGAAGAGTTTTCAGAATCAATAATTATAAATTTCTCACATTTCCTATATCCTCCATCTAAAATGTCATTAACTGCTTATAAATTATTCAGGTGTAAACATAGTAAGTGGCGGAAGTATGACCTGAAATCATGTTTTATAGCTTTGCTTTTTGGAGTGTTTATGGCATGTTTTCATAACATTGATGATAATCCGTTTCTGATTTCCAAATTCTGCTCACCTCAAACACCACTCCACTTGGAAGGCTTCCCTGATAGTCTGAGACATCTCTTCTTTTCTTCCAGATACTTACGGAACTTTATATGTACCTATTTATGAGAAGTTATTTATTGCTATCTGCCTTGCATTTTGGTTGCTTACATGTCTTATTTCCTTCTACAGTGTCAGCAGGGCTGATAAGTAGGGGGTGTCCCACACACCAATGCCAGAGGATTCATAGAGGCTGCCTGGAACCCCGGGGACAGGAAAGGCTCTGGGGACACAGGGGTACTTAGTAGAAAAGAGCAACTTGACTAATATCACTGCCTTCCTGCAGGGGGCAGGGAAGAGCATCTGTGGCCCGTCGTCTGCTGGCCTTTGCTGGCCTTTGCACTGTTAGGATATACATGGGTTTTCTTCCAGTGAAGGGCCATTATATAGTTCAGTGAACGATGCCTCTATAAACTGAAGGAAGGGCAGCATGGGGTAACAGCCTGTGCCATCCTTTGATAGTTATGCTCTTGCACGCGGCCGGGAGAGCCCCCCAGGAGGAGGGGCACAAGCCCAGTCTCTGCTGCCTCTTTGCTGTCAGTTTCCTTCCTCCCCTGCCGTTGATTTTCCCCACTGCTGTCTTCCCTTTTTCAAGACATGTCCCAAGCAGGTGAGAATATGCGGCTTACTGGCAGTGAGGGAGGTGGGGGTCGCAGGGGTGGAGTTCTACTACTTTGGTAGCAACTCGGGGGAGAAGGCGTGGCAGAAGGCAGCCTTGGCAGTCAGCCCGGTCGACGGGCATCCTCTTCCCCCGCCCGGCCCCCTCTCCACAGCCCACTGGGCTCCATCTACTCTTTGCAGAGGGACTTGGCATAACCAGCAGAGAAGCTTAACCCTTTTCCATGTACTCAGGTTAAAGAAATCTTCCGGAATGGACTGGGGAAGTGAAGCCGTGAAGGACACAGGAGAGGAAGTACCTCTGGGTGTTCAAGTCCCTTCCATCTATTCCAGTTACCAACACTGGCAAATCGTTTTAAAGTTTTCATGCTGCTTGCTCCGTGGCTGTCTCCAAGGACAAACCTCCGTCCCTGGCATAGCACCTGTGCTATTTCCTTATTATCCTTAATTTAAAGTTCAAACTTAAAAAAATTTAAACACACTTACTTTACGAGGAAAATTTTATATCACTTCGGTAAGTGCAAACCAGTATCAGTTGATATGGTCAGAAGGTAACCCTTAAGGCAAATATATGACTCTTAAAAACAACTGCCTGTACACCGCCCGTGCCCACCTGGCGTACCTTCAATGGAACGTGCATCCCACCTTGAGAAGCCTGGTCTTGAATGTTACTCAACATTTTCTCATTTCCATAAGTGGGGAATTTATTTTGAACCACTTTTTTATTTCCTGATTTGTTCAGAACGAAGATCAAATCTCTCTTCCCCCTATGCCTAGTGAGAACCATGTGCTCCGCTGTTTGGGGGAAGGGGAGGTGGGCGTGTTCTCTCAGGAACACTGATGGTGTGAAAGCATTCTACAGAGTATGAGGTGTGCTACATGAATGTATGCGATGGCTATTTTCCTCCCCAAATGTTCTGTTGTAGCAGAGTTAAATACCTAACTTCAAGCCCTGGCTGGAGTAGCTCAGTGGATTGAGCGTGGGCTGCGAATCAAAATGTCGCAGGTTCAACTCCCAGCCAGGGCACATGCCTGGGTTGCAGGCCATAACCCCCAGCAACTGCACATTGATGTTTCTCTCTATCTCCCTCCCTTCCCTCTCTAAAAAGAAAAATAAATAAATAAAATCTTTTTTAAAAAATCTAACTTTGTTCGAAAGACCTTATGATGCAGAAAATTGAAAAAAGTGATCTTGTTTTTATTATTGAATAGCCACAAAATATTATGTTTCAGAAAGTTCTGCCTCTCCAAGTTCAAGCCATTGCTTTTTCAAATTTAATTTTCAAGTCGTCTCTAGTTACACAGTTTCTAGTTAAGAGACTCATTGCCCCCATATTTTGTTCAATTTCCTGACTCTCCAAAGTGTGTGTGTCCAAATGAAAACCTGCCTCTTTAAGGAGAAACAAAATCTGCTCTTTGATGTTAACTCCTTAAAGTCCTCTGTGTATACGGGACCATGGCGTTATTTTCTCCCAGACCAGTTTCTCAATAAAAGCAGTTAAAAGTTAAGAATAGTTGATGTGTTTGCAGTACCTTGACAGAATGATTATGGAAATCTGTAACAATAATTTCATTATTGCTATTTACAGCTGCAAAGTGGGGACCTGCAATAAAGATGGAAAAATTGTGAGATGACCACCATAACAAAAATAATTGCAACATGGCAGTTATAAAACTTAATACAGTACTGAGTTACTTAAGAAAAAAAACAAATAAGGGGAGCCTCAGAGCTTGAGAGACCATTCAGCCAGACCCCCGGCTGCAGACAACATGGAATGTCTACCACTCTACCCTTCTGACTGTCTACTCCGACTTCCTCCAGATCAAGCTAAAAGCTGCAGCAGCCCTAAGGAAGAGGGGATGAGCAGTAAGCATCAGAACTCAGTCTCCAAACCACCATCTGAATGTCACATCTGCCAGCTTGCCTGAGTACATGTTAGTTATTTTAGGGTCCCCAGGGCCCACTGAGGAAAGACATGGTAATGCTCAGCATTAAGAAAAAAAGACCCCGATATATAAGATTTTTTTAAAGTAGAGCAGAAAACCTACACTCTCTAATTTTGGGTGACATTCAGAATGTGGTAGAACTGGAGACAAAGCACAAAGAAAGATTATGCAAATGAAGGTTAAATGGAAAAAACACCCTTTTAAGAAGGAAATTTAATAAACTGTTTTCAGCTTCTTGCGGATGTGAAAAATTAAGTAAGCTTGTGACTGCAAAGTGGTACAGCAAGAAGAGAAATTTTGAAAGATCTGCCCTTCCCACAATCAGCACATGCTCTGAACGCCTGCTCTCCTACAATCACCTAGAAACGTGAAAAATTTCTCATTCAGAAGCTCTTTAAATAAAGTTCCAGCTAGGTAGAAATAGGAGTTACTCCACTGTTTCTCAAACATTCTTCTTTAAAAATATTTGATCTTAAAATTCATATGTTATTTACTATTACTATTTGAAGATTAGACTTCTGAGTTGTGACGTGCCACCGGCAAAGGCCACACGTGGATGGCAGCTCAACTTACTGCGGGGAGTTGTGGGGGCGTCAATGAGAAGCACCTAACCATGCATTTCGCTTAGATTTCACCCCCAGTACCTTCCCCAAAGCCAGCAAACACAGTGGGGGTGAGGCGTCTCCAACATGCTCCGACACCATGCAAATGTGAGCAGAAGGGGCATAAAAAGGGGGTTTACGTATTACCGTCAAGTGTACCTGCAAACTGCCTGTCCCCGTTTCCTCGGCTACCAAACCTGGTGACGATTTTCCCGTTTGGCTGGAAGATGAACACGCAGCACGCCTTGTTATCCACCACGATGACGTGCCCGTTGCGGTCCACAGAGACTCCTTTGGGCCCCATCAGCTTTCCTGACCCGATTTTTGTCTGTTGGAGACAAAGACAGCAGTGAGGTTGAAGACGCAGCACAGAACATGAAGGCAGACATTTTTCTTAGCAGCCACTTACTGAAATGTGCAAACAGGGGTACACAGTGACTCATGCCACAATGGTCTCTGACTTGAAAAACTGTCTCTGTCCCATCTATTATCTGCTATTGATATTTATACGAAATTCTTATTTTTTTAAAGATTTTATTTATTTATTTTTAGAGAGGGAAGGGAGGGAGAAAGAGAGAGAGAGAGAAACATCAATGTGCGATTGCTGGGGGCTGTGGCCTGCAACCCAGGCATGTGCCCTGACTGGGAATCGAACCTGCGATGCCTGGTTCGCAGCCCGCGCTCAATCCACTGAGCATGCCAGCCAGGGCTAAATTCTTATTTTTTAAAGGAATCATCACCAAAAATGTTCTGCAATCCCCTCAACTGGGGTCAGTCTGGTGTATAGCAAAAGACCCCTGGACAAGGAGTAGGGAGTCTGACCTCTGTCTATCGCTTGCTTTGGACACAGCTGATATAGCACAAGTGCATGCAATTTCTTCAGGCTTCAGATTCCTCATATATTTAAAAATGCCAAAAAAAGGACCTCAATCATTTCCAATGGTATTTTTAGAATATGTATCAAAATTAAACAATGCAGGTAAAGTATTTAGTATAGAGTACAACCTATATTAAGCCATCATAAAAAAGAAACTATCATCGTCATTATTTAACATCATAATTCACATCAAAATTGCCAGTCATCTGCCCTTGAACTGCAGTAGAGTCAAGTTCTGCACAGCCAGGAGCCCTGCCTGTTTTATCCGGCACCATGTACTTATTCCGAGCCTAGCATACTTCTTGGTGTCCAATATGTACTCAACAATTATCTCCTTGATGTATTAATTTTAAAACTCTAGCAGTGTTCTAGGGTAAAATGATGACTAAATGGTTCCAGTTTTCACAGTATTTTAAAATGGGAGGAAAGCATTATTTCTATCAAGCACATCACATGCACTTTAAACGGTATTCATTTTGCTGAGTAGGCCACAGTGTGCACTGGAGGCCTTTTTGCCACTAGACCCATGCCTTACACCTTTACTTTTATAGCTCCATTTTCTGGGGTGCTGATAAAGTATTGACTCCTTTCCCCGTTTATTTACTAATTCTACAAACACTGATGGGGCACCCAGTGTGTAGCACTCGAAGATGTCTCGGCGGCATTGCACAGACAGACGTGTCTCCTGTGCCCGTTTTAAGGTGCCTGGTTGTGAGTGTTCCACGCGGTAGGTTTGGGAGCATGCCCATGAGCCATCTCAGAAGGCATGTGGAACAACTCGATGGCACAGGTCACTGTAGACAGGGAAGGAGAAAGAGCACCCATGACGCTCATGTAGCAGACAGAAGGCACTCCTGGTACATGAGGGGACAGCAAGAAGCACAGCTGTCCTCGGCACCGAGACTCAAAGTGTCCGAACAAGATAGAGCTCTATGTGATTTTACAAAAAATCTCTCCTATATATTATGAAGCACCACACAGAACAGTTGGTGTAATCTGAGCCCACTTGTGTTAAATGCGTTTGTATGTGGACACATCCTCCTGGAGGAGAAAGTGAAAAACCAGACAGAATTTGTATCTTGGAAAGAGATACTAGTAGTGGCAAGAGAAACTCTAACTTTTCATTTTGTACTCTTCTACAGGCTTATTTGAAAAATCTATTTGCAAACATTACTTTGTAAATTTAAAATGTTAACTCCTGAACAGCTAGCTGCATTCTCCAAGTTTTCTCAGGTTTTCTCTCCACATTAGCGCTGTTTGATGGAAGTACAACACGTGCTATACATGGAACTTAAAGTCTTCTAGTAGCCAAATAAAAAGAATAAAAAGGGAAAATTTATTTGAATTGCATATTTCACTTAACTCAGCATAACTAAAAGTGATCATTTCAATATGTAATCAATATAAAAATTATTAATGAGATATTTTACATTCCTCTTGGAGGACTAAATCCTTGAAGTCCAGAATGTATTTTACACTCACAGCACATCTCAGTTCAGACCAGCCCCGTTCAGGAACTCAGTATCCACGTGTGGCTAAACATCCTCCATAGTGGATGTTTATAAATGACATTACACTTCTTCTAATGTCTCATTTGTGCTAAAGCATCACCTTCCACCTCTATGTGTGAGATTCTCAAATCTGTATCTTTAGTCATGGCCTACTTTACAAGTTTCAGCTTAAACTCAACAAATGTCAAACTAAATTTATCTTCTTCACTTCTACCATTAAAAAAAAAAAAGGAAAACGCCTGGGCTGGTGTGGCTCAGTAAATCGCGTGCCAGCCTGTGAACCAAAAGGTTGCCGGTTCAACTCCCAGTCAGGGCACAGGCCTGGGTTATGGGCCAGATCCCCGGTTGGGGACATGGGAGAAGCAACCAATTGGTGTTTCTCTCCCACTCTGGCTCCCTCCCTTCCCCTCTCTCTAAAAATAAATAAAGTCTTTTAAAAAAATGAAAAGAAAAGCCAAAGTAGCACCTCCTGATTTGCTAGTTCCTTTTATAATATCACAGTTCACCCAGTGAACCAGGATCAAAATTTCAAAGCAAAATTCATTTATTCTTTCATCAGTTTGAACCTCAGTTTTCTCATCTGTAAAATGGCAACTATGCTATTTACCTCCTGGGTCTTGCAGGTTCCAAAGGATCAAGGAAAATGTCAACCCCAGCACATGACACATAGATAATCTCCTCTCTTTCACCCTACTCAGCTGGTATCATACCCGACCCACAGGATTACCTTCTTTCCCAACAGAGACACCAAGAGATGTGCAAAAAGAGCATGAAGATAAGGGTGGGGGCTTTCCTATGTGGAAGTTCAGACCTTGTATCATCTTTTGTTCTTGGATGTTTATAAATGACTGAGATTCAGATTCGACCTCTTTAGAACAAACACACATTTACTCAGGAAGGAAACAATGGTGTCTTGGCAAGGGAATCGGTTGTATAAATTTGATTCTGATTCTGCAATCTAGCCCCAAGATCAAAGACACTATAACATAATAACTTACAAAGACACTGTGTCCTCTGTTTCATGTCTGAATAGAGATATGTCAGTAGGGATCAAAAGAGAGAAGACTCTGATTATTAAAACAAGAATATTATTAGTACCTCACATTATGAACACTAGTTGTTACTTAAAATGACTCAGCCACATAATAATGCCAAGTGGATGATAATTATGTCGCTTGCAAACAGAAAATAAAGGATTACTGCCATTCTATCGTGTAGTTAAGAGCTAGTTAGGGCGGGTCCGAAAGACAAAACTTAAGTGTTGAACCAAAACCTCTTTTCTTGCCACTTCCCTTAAGTCCTAGTTTAGCTGCATTAGATTCTACCAAGTAAAATGAGAATTAATAACATTTGGCCCGACAATATGTCTCCCATCTTAAATAGAATAGTCAGCAAAGATATTCTAGATCCTGGCTCTGGAACTGTTAAATGAAAGTATTTAGGTCAACAAACAGGTCCTTAAGTGGAAGAGGAAAAAGATGAGATATTTTAGAATACGGTGGCAATGGTCTTTACTTCTATCATTAAAAAATTAAAAAAAAAAGAAGAAGCCCTGGCTGGCGTAGCTCAGTGGATTGAGCGCGGGCTGCGAACCAAAGCATCGCAGGTTTGATTCCCAGTCAGGGCACATGCCTGGGTTGCAGGCCATGGCCCCCAGCAACCGCACATTGATGTTTCTCTCTCTCTCTTTCTACCTCCCTTCCCTCTCTAAAACTAAATAAATAAAATCTTTTTAAAAATAACAATAAAATATTTTTAAAAAAGAAAAGAAAACCCGAACTGGCACCTCCTGATTCCCTACTTCTTTATGACGAGTCCTTCTGTATCTGTTCTGGGGTCACGGAAGGCTCCTAGATGGGCCAGAAGATGTAAGTCAGGAGGGAAGATGGAAAGAAAATAAGTTAGGGGCAGACAGGAATGAGTATTAGGGCTAAGAGGTGAGTGAGTAAAAGAAAGAGAAATTAAGATGCTATATCTCTAGAACTATTAGGGATAAATACGAAGAATCTACATTTGTGGTAAAGGTTTGTCCTTGGGAGCCCCTGCTTTATTTCACTGAACCCCATCAAAGAAAATGAGCGTCTCTCAGTATGTGGTCCTGGATGTCACAACTGAGTGAATCCCTTTATAGTACTGGAGTGTTTTCACTCGCTGTCTTTCAACCCTTAGGGTTTTGATGAACCACTGAATGAAAAAGGCTTAATTCAGGAAACCCTTCTCTCTTCTGTTTCAATATTTCAATATATTAGATATACAAGATCTCAATATATTATATAGATATAGAACTCCTGTTTCAATACCTGTCTTAATATTTGTTTCTGAATTTTTAAAAACAGGTCATGATTGTGCTAGAGTCTATGGGTTGTCCCCTATCTAGATAGATCTTTTCAAGAGGTCTCTGTACCGTTTTTATTCTATTGATGGTAACGTTGTCATATTTGGGTACAGCATATCACACACACGATTATGAAGACATGAAAGAAGGGAAGGAAATTAGAGAGAGGCAAGAGACCTTCCTGTAGGCATGGCCTTCAAAGGAAGGCATTACATGACTAGTGGGGTGGAAAACATCAAGGACAATCAAAGAATGGCATGCACTAGGGTAGAATTGGAAACAGTAGCTTTTCATTTTCCTAGTTCGAAAAGACGCTGCCTCGCACAAAGCAGGGGCTCCCACCTGAAGATGAGTAATTGTGTAAGGAACTTCCTTAATAATAACAATGCTATGACTACAGTGATCTCACAGCCCGAAAAAGGAAAATGTAAGTGCCTCCAGTAAAGACAAGCAGGTGAGCTTCGTGCCGTCTTCAGGACTCCAGGACGGCTTAGGAAGAGCACTGCCCACTCTCAGACAAGGAACGTGACCTCTGGCAGCTGGCATGTGAGGCCACAAAGCCCGAATCATAGACAGCTGACTGAACAGACTTCATTTTTTGAACAGACTTACTACAGGCATTGGAAAAGAACATGTTTGATGCCTATTTCATATTGGACACATACAAAATCCACAAATAAAACCTCATTTAGTCCTTACCCAAGTCCCAAATTGAAATATGAGGCTATCAAGGCTTGAGAGAGTTATATAATTTGCCAAACAGATTCTAATGGGTTAATATGAGTTAAAGTTCATGGTGTCAACTGAAAAGAAGTCTCTAGAAGGTTGGATGGGGGGATATAGGAGGCATAGTGCATGTGGCTTTCAAAAACACCTTTGACACAGGGTCTCATAATCTTCCTGTAGACAGTGTAGAAAATGGGCTGGGCGATAATATTCTTTGATGACACCTTAGGAAGTGACATTTGTTATCACCAGAGAGCTCTCTACTCTTGGGTGACTTGCTGAAGAAACAGAAGATGACACCGGGAGTGACAGCAAATATGTCAAATGATGGGACCCCTCAAAGTGTAGCTCAATTTGCATTTTCTCTGTGAAGCCAGCCCCCATTTTCTTTCCAACTCTTATACTATATTTTTTAACACTCTGCTTTGAGATCGTACCAAACAATGTATGACGGAATAAAGGCTGACATGCATTGTTTTCTGTGTATTCATCTCTTTTTCTCAAGGGTCTTATATATTTTCAAAGGGAGGGGACCGTGTCTTACAATTTTGTCTCTCCCCATATCCCTGTCATGGGCTTGAGAAAGTAGAAGCCACTTCATAAATGACAACCTGTAGGTTAATTTGGAAAATATAAATTGCCTCTTAATAACTCTTACATATGATGGTATAAAAAAATTGGCTGGCACCCTGGCTGGTGTGGCTCAGTGGATTGAGTGCCAGCCTGTGGACCAAAAAGGTCGTTCATCAGTTCGATTCCCAGTCAGGGCACAGGCCTGGGTTGCAGGCCAGGTCAGGTCCCCAGGTGGGGATGCACGAGAGGGAACCACACACTGATGTTTCTCTCCCTGTCTGTCTCCCTCCCTTCCGCTCTCTAAAAATAAATAAATAAAATCTTTAAAAAATCGGGTAACATAATTGCTTTATAAAATGAAGCCGTATTTACGATATACAGGAGTAGATTGATGGCAATATTATTGTTACTCTCACTTCATAAAACTTAGATGTAACACAGTCTAGATGTCTTTGTATATGAAGAATTATTGACTATTTTATTGGATCTCAAAAAGGAAAAGGACGAGGAAATGAAAAATTTCGTTTTGCATTTCTCACTCCTTCTCTCTCCTGTTTAGTGGTTACTCAGTAGTAAATCTTACCTTAAACTTCCCATCTGAAGAGAATATGCTAACCCACTTGTTATCATAATCTGCAATGATTATGTCCCCACTGGGATGCACCGCTACCCCTGTGGGCCGCTGCAGCTGCCCGGGAGAGCGTCCTCGTATGCCAAAACGACTTTTGAACTGGCCATCGTTGGAAAATATCTGTAAAACAAATTGCATTCATTGGAATGAGAACCTGCACAGAAGAAACAGGCCGGAAACACTGTCGTCTGCACTACAGGTCAGAACTTGCCAGTCTCGCTTGAACAGAAGTCTATGCACACGTTCTAAGCTTTCCTTGCACCGTGCACCCCAAGTGTTAAGTAGGAAAATGGGCAACTGTACCTATTTTATCACCACTGGTGGTTGGAGGTATACAGTCAGGGGTCATACCTGCACGCACTGGTTGTTACTGTCTGCAATTAATATCTTCCCACTTGTAGATGCAGCTACCCCTTGAAGATTTGTAAATTCTCCTTTATTTCTTCCTTTGGTACCTAAAAATAATAAAACCACAGAAATTTAGCAATAGAGAATCAAATTTCTCAGTTTCAGCAAGATAATTATTCAGGCTTCCATAGATAACCTGAGAATGCACTGTTTTAAAATTATACTGTAAAAAAGAGAAAAACAAACAAACAAGAGAACTCCCTCCCCATGACCTGACTTATCTGCTACTAAACTCTCTTCCAGAACAATCGAGTCTTCAACAAATCACTCTTTCAGGCAAATGCCAATCTTCTCTCACTAAGTTGTAGCTGCATATTAATATGATTAAAATAGATTTAGATTCCACAAAGACACCAAAATAAAAACTAACTTTATAATTGAGGATTTGCAATAGGAGAGAGCCTTAGAGTTTTGCCAAAATCCCACCGTCTCGCCCAACAGCTCTTAGAAGAAACCTGGACATTTGTCTTTTAGTGCATTCACCAAACCTTAAAGCCAAGCTGTTACAAACTAGCAGGCTGAGTTTCATACACTGGATTTACTTCTGCATTATTTTCACAGACTCAGTATCTCATAGACTGTGTATTCACAGGCTGTATGAAAATGTAAATGATATCTTGACAGAGCACTTTCTGGATTAAATAAAGAAGAAAAGCAAAAGGAAATGAATTTAACCAAGTAATATATTCATCTTTGCTGACTTTTTCTTTAATGAGAGAGATGAGGCAGGAGAGAAAAAGAGCAAAGGAATCTATGGGTTAACAGATGCCTGTTTTTGTTTCAGAAGGAGTGTTTAGAACTTATTTCAGTAGAACCATGTAAATAATAATGGATGGGAACAGAATAAATTTTGCTCAGAAATGACCAGGGAGGTTAAACTTTTCATCGAGGGAGAAGGCTGTGCCTCTGTTTTATCATTTCATTTACAGTCAAAAGAGCAATTTGATATTTTGTCTTCGGACATCAGTGCAGGGCCTTGGGAAAGAAGAGGCAAAGATGCTTAGCTGGACTCCAGAGCACATCATTCAGAACAAGGGGAAGAAAGACGCTGCGTGAACGGGTGCTGCTCAGTGCCTGCCAACACTGGGGTCGGGAGGGCAATGGGGCTTGGCTGCAGCAGGCCACACCGCCAGAAGGGGGGCCTCCAGCCTCTCCAGAGCTCCAGGGCGAGGTGCTGGCCCAGCTCTTGTTCTTGGTCTCAAGTTAGCTAGAGCTGGAGTCTGCTGCCCCACGTGTAAATGAAATCACAGAGCTGGAGGCACGTCTATTAGTCCACGATCACTTATACGTTTTAAAAAGAGCTAAATGGAACAGGCATTGCCATTTTAATTTTATAATATTTGTTTTTTAAAAAAATCTGCTTCCTTAAGCCACGTGGCTCAGTTTACAAAATGGCTGGCGTAACATCCCGATTCTAACGAACATCTTCTGCCAGAGTTATTGATCATCATTTTTTTAAACTCTATTTGTGCTTTTTAAGCACGGCAGGATCTCAGCGTTCCCCCTGAGGATCAAAGGAAACCACCAGCACACTCTAACTGGAGGGACAACGAATACTAATTCCCACCAGCAGTTAAACCAGGAAAATCCCGATGCTGAGCAGTGATGCAGAACTACGGCTCATTATCGTTATGCTGAAATGCCCACGTCCGAATGTTGACAGAAGGTCTTGAGACCCAAGTAAAATAAACAGAAATCCCAGAAGCTAGAGATAATTTGGTGCATCATGCTTCACTCTTCAAGATCTTCAGTAAACTTTATTTAGTCTATAGAAAAGTGCCCCCAAAGTATTCCAAATATATAATGAAAATTAGTTCTTTCCTAACAAACATGAATGTAACACAAAACACAGAAGAGTACTTACAAAATCTTTTCCTGCCACTTTGATGGAAAAGATTTCATTCGGTGGTAACATTTGTCTAGTAAAGCAAGTAACACGAGTTTTAAAAGTAATTATAAACAACTGGGCAACGATTCCATAAGATAATTAAACTTGTTTTCCCCAGATGTTTTGCGAGCTGATGAGGCACAAAATGAATTTGTAAGCCACCAGTGTCCCTCATCTGTGTCCCTCCTGGTCACATCCACCCACGCCTCCAGGACAATTACAGAGTAAGGTGATAGGTAACCGGGCCCCGGGCTGAAATAGGGGATTAAAAACTGTAAATCCCGCCCCCACTCCATTTAATGAGAAAATTAATGTTAAGCAAATCTAGATACTTAGATGGGATGATGCAAGAGGAGGAAAGCGGGCCAAACAGAAGGTCTCACACAGGACCATCAAGTCGGTGCTTCCTCCATGTTTGCTGAGGGAACAGATGCCTGAATGAGCTATCACTATCTGAGTAAATTACAACCCACATTACGTCATGGGAAAATGAAAGGTTTCTTTGTATTTACAGCACTTTCATATACTTTCTCTCATGCACACCTTACGACATCCCCAGGAGTTAACATGATAAATATTACCCATCGGTCCATTTTACGGAGGCAAAACTGGAGCCAGACACATCCCAAAGGTAGTATAGACGGACAGGAGACCAAAACCCAGGTTTTCCTGAGCCGGAGACTAGGAGGTTTACATAACCCCCTTTTTTTTTTTCTGATACACACAATGTTTCTTTCTCATTGGACTTGAGAACACCAATTTTCTGAGATGAGGATAATTACCCTTTGGGCTCACACAGGTCATGATTTCTCCATAAAGTCCTTTAGGAAAATTCCATCCCTTATCACACAGTATTTCACTCTTGGAACAGTCCTGTCTCCCTCACTGACCTGTGAGCTCCCCAAGGGGCAGGGGTACCTGCCGCCCCCTCTCACACAGCACGGTGCCCACAATGACCTCAGATGTCAAACTAGTATGATCTCCTTCCTCGGAGATTCTAGGGAGGGAAGGTGGTGGTTTGCAGAGGTGAGGCAGGAGAGAGAGGCATAAAAGATCCTATCTTTCTGCAAAGCCTCTGAACTCATGCTAAGTGACTTTACAGCACCCATTTTATATGGAAAGAACTGCAGTACAAATGAGTGGTTCTTTCCACACTTCTTACAGCCTCACTAAGGTATGGTGTATTAATTACATAGTTTGAAACAATTCAACTGTAATTCTTTCACTCCCTCCCACGTCTTCTGGCTTCCCTTTTGTTCCGTGACTTTCTTTAGCAGCTGACAAAACCAGCTCGCTGGGGAAAACTAATCCCTGGGTTTCAAGGAATCACTGTCAACAGATGCTCTGAGCTACTTCCCTCAGCTCATTCAGGACTGTTCTGCAATCCAGTATTAGAGAAACACGATGACTCATTCACCATGGGCACATCATTAAGTTTTCAGAGGCGGGAGGTATCAAGTCCCTCAACTTTGGAAAACCACGGTAGTTAAAGGACATTTTAGGTGAAGGGGAATCACGGTGCAATTAAAAAGGCACAGGCGTGAGAGTCACAGGCAGCTTGGGCTCTGTCAGTGTCCCAGACGGCTCAGGCTCCTGCCCCAGCTCCCTGAGCCTCCATTGCTTCCACAGTAAGAATAAATTATATGTTGTCCTGGAAATTCGGCTGTTGAGGGCCAGGGGCTGGGAAGGGAGCTCTGATCTGCAACGTAGGCCGGTCTGTAGATGTAAATGCTCCCCTCTTGGCTGACGTCAGGCTGCCAACATGAAGTCACTGAGCAGAGCTGGGAGGCGGCTTGAGAACCAGCATAGGCTGACCCCAGCACATCACAAATTACGCTGTAGTGGGTATGTGACATGGGAGGGACACCGGGAACTGAAAGTAGAGTGTGCTTGCTAGAGATTTTAAGTGAGAGGACATGTGGAAGTGGACCGCACGATGCCTGGCCCAGAGAAGGCCTGTTCCTGCCTCCCGCTTGCAGCCCCCCGCCATTCCTCCCAGAACCACAGGGCCTGTCTTTGACATCTCACGGAAACTCATGCTTTAATGTAACTTCTCTGTGCATTTCAATTCCAAATTGGTGTCTAGCCCTGACTTCTTTGCTGAGCTCCAAACCCATACCCTGACTGCCCACAGGACACTTCGACCTGGACGATTAAACTGAAACACACCCTTCTTCCTCTTACTTTCCTCATTCTTGGTTGATAATGACGACGACGGTCACATTTATGGAGTCCTTACTATGTGCCTGCACTGTTCTAAGCCTCCACATGTACTATTTTCATCCTTACCAAGTGACATGTGTATGAAGATCACCCCCACCTTACAAATGAACACAGAGAAGTTAATTTTCTCTCAATCATACAGGCTGGGGTTTGAATCAGGTGATCGGGCTTTCGTGCTCTCAGCATGTTCTTAACTACTTAGGTTAACTGTTACTTCTACACTACCACTAAGAATATGTTGACTGGTATTACCTATGTTGCTTCTCTAGAACATAGCATACTGAATATTATTCAAATTAGAGCTTACTATTCTAAGCTCTTTCATGTATTAATTTATATAATCCTCAAACCCCTATTAGGTAGGGTTTTTTTAAAAATCCCCTTTTTATGGAGGAAACTGAGGCACTGAGAGGTTAAGCAGCTTACCCGAGAGTGCGCAGGTAAGAAAGGGGCCGTGCGGGGGCTGGGACTCAGGGGCGTCTCGCCCAGCGTCCGCAGCCTCAGCCATCATCCACTCTGCTGCCTCACATCCCTACGGCACTCAAGTCAATCAGCTAGAAGCTGGATTTGGTCACCAAGTCTTGCCCTCTTGCTCCTAAGCATCTCACAAGTCTGCTGCTTCCTCCCCACGCCATAGCATCACCCTTAATTCTGGCTCATGCGACGGCTGCAGTAGAAAGCAGCTCCCTGCTTCCCAGAGACCTTTCCAGCAGGTGCTCTCTAATGCCCCCAGGCTCTCTGGAGAGAAAGACTATCTCAGTAAGTCACTGCTTACACCGTTCAGGGCTTCCCTATCACCCACCTAGCGCTGGTTCTCAAACCTCAGTGAGCACAAGCTTCACTGGAGCTTACAGAATGCAGATTCCCCGCCCTTCCCCCAGGGGTCTTGAATCTGTAAACACAGCATTTTCCCCAAGCAGCCCCAGGGGTTCAAGCGGTTTATGGACTACGCTTTGAGAAACACCGGTACACAGAACCCAGTCCCAGCTCCTAACCAGGGAACTGCAGCCTCCCCTCTGCGTCTCGCTTCACTAGGTGCCCCAGGATGACGGAAGTATTTACAGTTCCTTGAACAGCTCTGCTTCTCACCTTCGTGTCTTCGTACCTGCTCACCTTTCATCTAACACCACCCTTTTCTTCCTTCCATCAGACGGACTCTCTTTCAAAGCCAGCTTAGGTTTAGGTGTTGCTCAACTCCAGGAACGTTCCTTAACGCCCCACTGCCTGTCTGGCTCCTCCTCCACCTCACCCCAGCTCCTGTGCCTTATTCATACTGAGGGCATTTTTCCCATGTCTGCTTCCTCCTAGACTATGGCCTTCTCTAAGTCATATTTAGAATCTCCTTCCTCTCCTTATACCCTAACCTGGCAAAGGGTCTGGCATAGAGCTGGTGCTCAAATGGCAAAGTCACATCCAACCTGGGGCAGGATAATCGGTGAGGAAGGTGAAAATTTGAGTCAAATTTACCCCCCAAAAATCTTTTATATCACTCAAAAAGTGACAGTTCACTTTCATGAATACACAACATTAACATGTTATTTAGGGTTGTTGGATGAACTCCTAACCCAAGTACTATGAAACCATGTATCTTTAAACACAAAGTCAGCGCCACACCAGCAGAATCACAGCTGCCACCTCAGACGGGTAGCTGGGTTTCAGTGAACTGTGGATTACACATGGTAGGCTTTAACTCATGCACAGAAGGACTGTTCCAATCACAAATGTTCTATTATCGTGCACCTAAGAGCCCGACTATACAAAGAAACAAAGTACTAAACCAAAATAACTGACAAAAAAGCTACACTCTTCTAATTATTGATATAAGCTCTACCCACTGGTAGCCAATGGTATACATGTTGAGAAGGCAAATTCTTAAAAGGCCAGCACTGTCTCATGGTGCCTAGCAGAGCCATAGGCATGTGAATGGCTGCCCTTGAGTTTAGTGCATCGTTGCCTGGTCTGGGTGCCCCTTGGCCTCGAAACTGGGTGAGCGTGAAGAGCGTGGTGAGCGAGGAGTGAAATCATGCAGTAGGTCATGACTTGATCCTATTTCAAATGGGTCATTTACTTATGCAAGAGAGTCTTCTGGGTATTGTTGAAGATTATAAATGATTAAAGACATCATCCTTGCCCTGAAGTAATTTATAATCTTGTTGGGAAATAAGCCCCAGGCATAAATAATAATAATTGCAGTGTCTTATACAGGATGAAGTGGTACTGAGGGAAGAATACAACTGGGAAAGGGCTTCATGGAAGAAGGCACCCCTCGTGAAAGCACGGGCTCCAGCAATGACTTGTCTGGCCTCACGTCCTGCCAGCGCCCCCATCACGTTCCACCCCTCTGCCCTTTGGCCCACCTACATCTTCTCACAGATGTGTTCCCCTAAAACATCAACCATGTTCATGCCTCTTTACCTTGCCTTTGTCCTTCGCACTGGTCTCTCTACCTGGCATGCCATTTCCACCTGTCAACTTGGAGACGCCGTATTCATCATTCATGTCCCATTTAAGTTCCTCCTCATTTCTGTAGCTTTCCATCACCTAATCTACAATCTTAGAGTTAGTTGGCCATACACATGTCATCCCAAACTCCTTGAGGAGGGGACCTCATTTCTTTCATCTTTGTATTCCTATCACCTAGCATAGTACCCAGCAGGCACTAAGGGCTCCAGAAATGTTTTCAAGTTATACTATTGCACAGTGACTGGCCTCTTTCAGCTAGACTCTGGATGAGAACATAAATTTAGAGAGGAATAGGCCAGTAGGACCTGCTTTCCTTTCTGCCCCTACATACCTGGGGTGCTTAGCACCAGCTGTGGGCTGAACTGTGTCCTCTGCAAAAATTCGTATGTTGAAGTGCCAGTTGTACCACACAAGATAACTGTATTTGGAGATAAGATCTTTAAAGAGTGGATAAACTTAAAATGGGGCCAGGAGGGTGAGGCCCTAATCCAATGTGGTTGGTGTCCCTATTGTGAAAAGAGCAGGAAGCACCAGGGGTGCCGTGCACAGGAGGACAGCCATGGGAGCGCAAGGCAGCAAGAAGGCCGCCACCTGCAAGCCAGGGAGAGAGGCCTCAGAGGAAACCAACCCTGACCCTGCTGCCACCTTGATCCTGGACTTTCATCCTCCAGAAATGTGAGAAAATGCCTTTTGTTGTTTAAGTCAACTAGTCTGTGGCGGCCTGAACAAACTGAGACAGCATCTTTACTTCCTTAATAAATGCAGGCATAGTGCTGCTTGCCAGGCACTGCTGTAAGCACTTCACAAACGTTTGAGCATTTAAACACCTGCCCACCAGGGTCAACGAATCACTAATGCTGCATTTCTCAGTGGGTGGGAGGGGACAGAGCTGATCCCTTGCCACCTAGGGTGGGAGCTGGGAATCCAAAGTCAATATAGTTGGAGAGAAAATACCCCTAATAGAAATGTCTCTTTATTCAGGTGGGAATCACAGGAGGTGATAATGATGATTGATAGTAACAACAGTAAAATAACAGCTACCAGGAACTGAGCATCTGCTTTACACAGGTAAGTGCCAGCCACATTACAAGATTCTCTCTTTCAACCGCACAACAACCTTGGGAGTTGGTAATACTTCATTCCTTTGTTTTACAGAGGAAGAAACCATGTTAAGGAAGGGTAAGTCAGTTGCCCAGAGGGCAAAGAGAATCAGGGCCACAATCAGACTCAGGTCTGAGCCTTTCTCTACTGTGCGCACCGCCCGGGCAAGTAGACCGGGGTCCTAGGCTTGGGGTAGAGGGTTTCTGAATTGGAGACTGAGTTTGTTCTTAATGCAGGAGATCAGCGGGCAGCAGCGAGTTAAACTGTTTGAGAAGGTAGTAGGAAAAATCTCACAACCTTAAATTGCACATACAAAAACAATACTTTTCATTTATTTAGCTCCTCCTACATGCCGGGCATGACTCTTGGAACTGAGAATAGTTCTCAGAAGCAGATATTTGTCTTTTCACTGGATGGACATGGAAACTGAAGCCCAGGGAAGCTGAGAGACCTGCCCGACTTTCAAGTGGCAGAACCGGTGTGGCAGACCTGGGCGGCTCCCAATCCTTCGCCCACCCCAGCTCGCCCTCTCTGCTTTGGTGGGCGGCTCGACAATGTCTGCACCCACACTGCGCAAATGGCCAGCGACTGTACGAGGCCTCCACGCTCTGAGCGGACAACGGACATCTCACGTCACGGTCTTTCCCAAGGCCCAGGCTCACGTGTTAGCATGCAGCAGCTTTGCCCAGGAATGTGCCGAGGAGTTATCTCCCCGAGATGTTCCCTGGGGAAAGCTCTATGGTCAGGAAAGTTTGGAAGTGCTGCCTGTGATCCCTCCCCTGCCTCACAAACTTAAAGTGCACGTCAGCAAATTCTAAAGGTGCTGCAAGTTAAAAAACATCTATTTCCTTCACTTAAGCCTAGCTTTCCCCCAATACGCTTGAACCATAGAACTGTTTTCCTACAGGTGTCAGGTAGTACTCGGGGAAGCGGCCTTTTGGAGGTTCTGCGATAAGGGACTGAAGGGGTGGAAAGAGAAGCAGGCTGCGTTTGCTTTTGGAAGCAGTAACTAAAGACTCATTTTTCCTTAAGAATTATCAGATCGTTTGTTTACACCTGGCTTGCTTTTTACTGAGAAAATAAACACCTAAAACTAACATTTGACTCAATAAATTTTTGTTTTGTATTAAAAAAACATTAGTCTCAATAAGTGTTTGTTTTGCAATTCAAAACCACCACCAACAAAAAAAACACTGCCACTGAATCAGAAAAGGGATGGGCTGTTTGCATACCCCAACCTCTTGGCTCAGGAGGAGCCTTCTGCCTCCACCCCAACCCCATTCCATCTCCAGGTTTCCACCCTCCCTCCCACTGGGGGGCTGCTCTGCGGCCAGCACACTGGAGGTGACCCCAACTCCCAACGCACCACTGCCCCACTGCACCACTGCCCCACCGGCAGCCCTTACAGTAGTGCAGAGGCAGTGACAAGGAGGCATCCCACCCCCTGCCCGCACCACAGGGGTAGCTGGCAGACCTCAGAGAAACTGAAGGTTATCTGATAGAACCATCTCCCCGCCCTCCCTGGGTTGGTCTGCACTGCTCCAAAGGCATTCATTCCCACAGGGAGGTAAACGATTGCCAACATTCCTCTAAAATTTCCAGATTATGAGTGCTGTGATAGTTCTAACTCTCTTCCTGCTTATTTTCTGTTTCTAATTTTCTACAATGAACATGCAGCCTTGTGATAGAAAGGAGAAAGAGGAAGGGCAGGAAGGAAGGAGGGGGGACATGGAGGAAAAAAAGGGGGGGATAAATCATAATATCTCCAGAGAACAAGACCGCATAAGCTCACCTAGTAAAACATACCAGTATGTCCCAGCCCCTTCAGGTAGAAGTTCTGACCTGCAACGCTCCCGTTTCCAACAGTTAGCGCTCCACCAAAGCACCCCTCAGCCCGCAGGCGCGCCGCCGCCTCCTTACCCACTCGAAAGATCAAGTCATCCTCGATGGGATTCTCTTTTCTTTTTCCAGTGCTGTACATGCTTGCGGGTCTTTTCACAGCTTTTTGCTTAACGTGACCGCTTCCCGGGGATTTCACACGCCTCTTCACGCCCTCGGTAGTGGGCGACACGTCAGCCGACCTGATCACTTTCAGCTTAAACGGGCTGCCTCGGATGTGCTGGTCGTAGAGTCTCAGGGAGAGGGTGAAGTCCCCTTCCTTCTGCACCGTGTACAAAAACTCGTACGTGCCGTTTTTGTTGTCCAGGATTTCTCCGTCTGCCACGCTGCCGTCGGGCGTGCTCAGCTCCGCGGTGATGTAGGCATTGCCAGTTTTGCAGAGCTCCCCGTCTTTGTCCTTGGTTGTTATGGTAACGGACATGGGCTGCCCAATTATGGTCTGACGCAACCCCTCGCCCGTGGCCACTGTCTCGGAGGCGACGGCGTTGGTGGTTAAGATTGTCCCAAGGTTGTGGATGGACTTCTTGAGCCCTTCGGTCTCTACGATGAAATCCAGCTGGTCGTTCTCCCGCGGGTGCAGAGGGAAGTCCTGGTCCGCCAGTTCGTTCAGCTTCTCGCTCATCTGCTTCTTCACCAGCAGCACCTCCGTTTCCGTGCCATGGTTAAGGGCTTGCGCGGTGAAGTTGCTGCAGCTCTTGATATTCTCCTGCCCCTCGAGCAGAGTATCCAGCTGCGACTGGAGGACCTGCAGGAAAAATGCACCCGGGTGAGTGCCTCCTGCAGCACTGGAGTGGAGCGCGCACAGGGGCAGCGCCTTCTGTGGGTGCGCCGGAACCGGTTCTGTACCTGCCCACGCCAGTGGCTCTCAGCAAGGGATGTTTAATTTCACTAGTGAACCCAGTTCTAATGCCTCATCCCACACTGCATTCCCATTACCTTCTCTCCCTTCCGCCTCGCCCTGTTTCTCCCACACACATACTTCTTGGGTCATGTGTTTTTGAGAGCATGGAGCAGAAACCATGCCACAGAGAGCTTGGCAAACAATTTGTACTTGACATCTGAAATATTCATTATTCAGTATGTTTCCTTAATGTCCAAAGCTCCCCTGTCACCTCTTAAAGGAACAGAAAGCAGAGGCATGAAAACTCTTCCACCCTTGAATCTCAGAAGCTTTTCATCCCTGCTTTTGAGATCAGACGTGCAAAGCCAAACAAAGGCAGCAGTAACAGCTCACTTAGAAGCTGACTAACAGGTTGGTGCGGGTGACAGAGCAATTAACAAACTATTAGACATTATTATTAAGGAAGGAAAACAATCCAGTTTAACTCCAAATCCTGAAAGCATTCTTTTGTATTCAACCTTGCCTTGTGTCAAAGTATAAATGGGGACTTAAGGTCACAGAATGAGAATTTTGCTGAAAACAGGAAGGAAAAAAAATCCGGATATGCCACTAAATGAAAACTCCTGCTTACTGTGCAGCAGTGACACTTAAGGACCCCTCGGAGGCCCCTTTGCTGCGGTTGGAACACGCCAAGCAAGGACCACGCCGTGCCCCAGACGTCGGGTCTCTCCCGGGATACCCGTGAGAACCGCCAGAGCCTTACTTTGTGTTTGAGGCCGTAGTTGACCTCCAGTTCCATGAGCAACACGCTCTTGCGCACGTTTAAAGTCTTCTGGAGCTCGTCGAAGGTGGAATGGATGTCGTCCACAATGCTGGCCTTCTGGTTGGTTAACTGATGAATGATTTCTGAGATGAACTGAAGAGCAGAATCTATTTCTGGGAGCCTGAGGACAGTTGTTAAAGATCATTGTTATTTAACATCAACTTAGAAATAGTAAAAAAAAATCTATCTAAACACTATTCTCTGAAGAAAAAAAAAACTCTGTATGTGCCTCTCATCATCTTTAAGACGTAATAACTGAGAACAAAAAGCATAAGACATAACTTCAGCCTTCGAGAGAAGAAGCTTTGAGGACCCGGGTCTCCTTCCGTCGACCTCAGTCATCTGCTTTGAATAACGGGGCGAAGCCTTGAAGCTCTCTGAACCCCGGTCTTTCCCGCATCTTCTAGACCAGGCTTGCTTTCTCAGTCTTGATACTATCGGCGTTTTGGGAGGGAGAATTCTGTGTTGCAGGGAACTATGCTGTGCCTTACAGATGTTTACTAGCATCATGTCCTTTACCAGATGCCATTAGCACCCCTCCACACACACACACACAGAGTTGTGACACTAAATTGTCCCCAGGCATTGATAAATAATGTTTAATTACCTGTGACTGTGAACCACTATTCTAGACATACAGCTGCATCTTTTTTCTCAATCACATGACAACCTTATCCAAACTCAGAGTTCCCCGGGAAGTTCTTGCAAGTTTCCACGTTCTCGTCATTCATATAGAATAACCACACTTTTCTCATTATAACTGTTGAAGAGACCTATTTTCAGCTGGCTACTTATTTCCTCTCTTTGGTCTTTCTCATGCCTCACACAGCTACTCTGTTCCTTCAAGGCCATGGCAGAAAAAGAGCCCAGACGTAGCTCAACATAAGGAAAAGGGAGCAATCCCTGCCCAGTACCCCTTTGCTGCCCTGAAGCAGAGGGGAGCCAGGCGCAGGCGGCCCCACGGGCCTCTGAGGACGTCAAGAATAGCAGGTGAGAAAGGCTCCTCGGGAAGCCTGGTTTCATGCACACATTTCAGAGGTCACCGGAGAGCATTTTCCTCGAGGGTATTTTATTCATAATCACCTAAGGTAGTAACACAGAAATGCCACCACTCCTAACAGAAGGGAGAATTTTCCCAAGGGGCAGGGGACGATCCTCCACTCACTAGTTTGTGATTACAGACCACGATCAAAGAATTTATTTAGGTGGCGTGAACCTACCATCTCACTGAGACAAGAGACCCCGAGGCCACGCCCGACGCACAGGCGGCCAGTTGGGAGCCCGGGGGGGGGGGGGGAGCGAGGGGATGTGCGCACCTTTTGTTGACAGCGTCCAGCTGCACCTGGAGCGAGGCTTTGTGCTGCTCCACCACGTCCTTGAGGGGCACCGTGGGGTGCTCCGCGTGCTCCCCCTCGGTGCACTCCCGACACATGGCGGTCTCACAAGACTGGCAGTAAAAGTCCATCACCTGTGGGTCACACAAGAACAAAGCCAGGACAACAGTGCCACTGAGTGAGGGCTTACTCACATTCTGCCATCTAATTCTCCCAGCCTCCCCGGGATGTCGGCCACAGTATGTCCAGTTTCACAGGAGGAAAGGAAGGATAAACGTTTCTGTGCCAAGTCTCAATCGGGGTAGATTAGACTCCAAAGCTGCTGTAAAGCTGGTCACAAAACCAGCTTTTCTGTGACCAGTGCACTAAGGCAGGACAGTGCAGAGCTGCGGCACTCAAACTCTTTGGTCTCAGGACCCCTTTATACTCTTCATAAGTGATCGAGGACTGCAAAGCACTTCAGTTTATGTGTTATATCTATAGATAGCTTTCACTTTAACATTGAAACAGAAAAAGTTTAAATATTAATTTATTACAAGCATTGAGAAGCCCATTAAATAGTAACATGAATAATATAGTTTATAAAAATAACTATTTTGCAAAACAAAAAGGTTACGAGAAGAATGGCATTCACCTGAAACCTACATATGTTTATTAGCCAATGTCACCCCAGTAAGTTCAATTACAAATAATTAAATAAGTATATATAAAGCTTGTTCCTATATATAAAGGGGAAAAATAAAATAAAGAAACTATCATCAGCTGGCTATAGTCCCTGTGCGATTTCATCCAAATTCATTAGCCCTGAATCACTGGCTAGTAAAAGGCAAGTCAGTGGGACAATAGGTCATTCACCAGAAAATAGATCGGCAATTCATCAACTCTTGCCATGCCAAGGACAGTGGAGTCATGTGATGCTCACACTGTCTCTTCCAGGGCATGTGAGCAGGGCAGATATTGAAGCCCCAATAGTACAGAACTGTACAACTGATTACCATTAGGAATGCAGACTTGTGGAAAGAACACATAGCAAAGCAGGTGTGGTACCCTGAGTAATGGCGCCCCAAAGATGTCCACATCCTAATCCCAGAAACCTGTTCACGCGTTTACCTTATATGGCAAAATGGACTTGCAAATGTGAGTAAGTTAAGGCTCTTGAGATGGACGATTATGCTGGGTTAGCCAGCTGGGCCCCATGTAATCGCACGAGGCCTCGTAGGAGGCAGGCGGGTCGGGTCAAAGACAGTGCAGGAGGTGAGACCACAGAAATGAGAGACTGAAGTGGTCGGAGGGCAGGTCACAAGCTGAGAGGGTGCAGGCAGCCCCTAGGAGCTAAACCACGCAGAGAAACGAGTTCTCTATGGAGCCTCCAGAAGGAACACAGCCCCTCCTCCATTTTGCTCTTAGACTTCTGAACTCCCGAACTGTAAGGGAATGCATTTGTGTTGTGTGAAGCTCCCCCGGATAAATAGTGAATCAAAGAGGATCTCACAAGGGAACTATAAAAACACTATGAGATGAATAAAAATGAAAACACAACACACCAAAGCTTATGAGAGATGGTGCTCAGAGCAACATTTATAGCTGTAAATGCCTACATTAAAAAGAAGAAAGATCTCAAATCAATAACCTCAGTTTCTACCTTAGGGAACTAGAAAAAACAAACAAACTAAATTTAAAGAAACCAGAAGAAAGGAAATAAAGATTAGAGTGGAGATAAATAAAATTGAGAGTGGGAAAACAATAGAATAAACAATGAAGCCCAAAGCTGGTTCTTTGTAAAGCTCAGCAAAACTGAGAACAGAGTGATAGGAACAGCTGTATACCAAGGAACTGACCTAGACACAGCGGGCAAATTGGTAGACACACAAACACTACCAAAAGTGACTAAAGAAGGATAAAAAATGTGAATAGACCTATCATAAGTAAAGAGGTGAATCAATCTTCAAAAAACTTTCAACAAAGACAAACCCAGTACCCAGATGGCTTCACTGGTGATTTCTCTCAAACAAAGAATTAACACCAATCCTCCCAAATTCTTTGTGAAAGTGTGATGAGGAGGTAACATTTCCTAACTCATTCTGTTAGGCCAGTAATGCCCTGACACCAAAGTCAAATACATCACAAGGAAAGAAAATTATAGACTAGTATCCCTCATGTATACAAGTGTAAAAGTTCCTACTAGAATACTAGTAAACTGAATCCAGCAGCATATTAAAAGGGTTATACCATGACCAAATGAGATTAATCCCAGGAATGCAAGGGTAGTTCACATATAAAAATTACTATATGTAATACATCACACTAATATAATGAAGGGAAAAAACCCACAGGATCCTCTCAATTGATGCAGAAGAAGCATTTGACAATATGCAACACCCTTTCATTATTGAAAAAAAAATCAAACTAGAAAGAGAAGGAAACTGCCTCAATTTCTCAAAGAGCATCTGCCAAACATCCACAGCTAATGTCATACTTAAGATCAGGAAAAGGACAAGGATTCTCTTGCCACTTCCATTCAACAAGTAATGGAAGTTCTAGCCAGGGCATTTAAGCAAGAAAAATAAATACAATGCATGCAAATTGGAGAGGAAGAAGTAAAAATTTCTCTGTTCAGAGATGACATGATTTTATATACAGAAAATTCTAAACACATACACACAATTAGAACAAACAAATGAATTCAGCAAACCTGTGGGAAGCAAGATCGGCTTCACACCCACCAGGTTGGCTGGCCTTAGAAAGTCAGATAATAAGAAGTGTTGGTGAGAATCTGGAAAAATTTGAAATCCCATATTTTGTTGGTGAGAATGTAAAATGGTGCAGCCACTGTAAAAACAGCTGATGGTTCCTCAAAAGTTAAACGGGCCCTGGCTGGCGTAGCTCAGTGGATTGAGCGCGGGCTGTGAACCAAAGCATTGCAGGTTCGATTCCCAGTCAGGGCACATGCCAGGGTTGCAGGCCACGGCCCCCAGCAACCGCACATTGATGTTTCTCTCTTTCTCCCTCCCTTCCCTCTCTAAAAATAAATAAATAAAATCTAAAAAAAAGTTACTTTAAAAGTTAAACGTGATTACCCTAGGACCCAGCGATTCCACTCCTAGGTATGTAGCGAGAGAACCGAAAGCATGTCCACATGCAAACTTGTTCACAAATGTTCTTAGCAGCATTATTCACAATAGCCAAAAAGTGACACCACCACAAATGTCCATCGGCTGATGAAGGAAAAAACAAGTTTTAGTGTATCCAGAGAGAGGAATATTACCTAGCCATAAAAACAAGTGAGGTTCTGCCCTGACTGGTGTGGCTCAGTTGGTTGGGTGTCATCCTGCAAAGCAAAAGTTTGCCAGTTCGATTCCTGGTCAGAGCGCATGCCTGGGTTGCAGGTTCAGTACCTGGACAGGGCGCAACCATTGAAGTTTCTCTCCCTCTCGCTCTCCTTCCCTTCCCCTCTCTCTAAAAATAAATAAATATTTTTTTAAAAGAATGAAGTTCTAGGCCCTGGCTGGCATAGCTCAGTGGATTGAGTGCAGGCTGGGAACCAAAGTGTCCCAGGTTTGATTCCCAGCCAGGGTACATTCCTGGGTTGCAGGCCATAACCCCCAGCAACCGCACATTGATGTCTCTCTCTCTCTCTCTCTCTCTCTCTCTCTCTCTCTCTCTCTCTCTCCCCCTCCCTTCCCTCTCTAAAAATAAATAAATAAAATATAAAAATATTTTTAAAAAAGAGTTAGCTATCATAAAAAAAAGAATGAAGTTCTAATATATGCTACAATATAGATGAAACTTGAAACATTATTACAGTGCTAGAAGCCAGACACAAAGAGCTACACATTGTATGTAAGATCCCACTTATACCAAGTGTCTGTACGGGCACATCCAGAGGCAGAATGCAGACTGATGTTTGCTGGGGGCTGGGGTAGGGGGTGGGGGGTAATAATGAGTGGCTGCTTCAGGAATGCAGAGATTCTTTGGGGGATAATGAAAAAGTTCTGGAATTAGATAGTGGTGATGTTTGCACAACCTTTTGAATATACTAAAAGCCACTGAATTGTGTGTGTGTGTGCTTTAAAATGGTTAAAATGTGAAGTCTGTGTTATGTGAATTTTACCTCCATTAAAAAAATGTGATTGCTTGGAAGAGACAGCAGCAAATCTGGGTTATGGTCCCTGATTCAGGATTCTAAGCGTTTTTTGGGAGGCAAAGGCCCTAAAATCCTTTTGAAGTATCAACAGCTAGTCAGTTCTCAGATGCCTGAGCTTGGGTGCCGACAGCTTTGACCCCCGCTGAGAGTTCATCATGTGAGGAGTGAGACGGAGCTGGGCTCATCCATCTCGAGTGAGATGATGCTGGGGCTTGATCTCACCAGGGGGAGGGGGGAGGGGGGCCAGAGGCCCGGAGGAGCTCATTGCTAGTGAGAGGTCGTCGCCATTTGTGTTCAGTAGGAGAGAAGATGACCAGGACCATGTTGCAGTACTAACTGCCGAAATGCATAGTCAGGGCCTCGAAACCCACCCTGAGGCTTCTGGAAGTGGGGACTCGATCCTGGCATGGCATTCTTGCTGGGATCTCCCCTTTGCACCTCTCAACATTCTTGTTAGCAAGGCCTAAGCAAGCAAAAGTAGGGTTTAAAGATCATTCGAGTTCTGGGGCTGTAAGGCATGACCTCAAGTGTCTGCTTTAAGTCCAAAGAACCTCTTCAATCACTGACCGCTATTCCCATTTCCTTTGTATTTGGACAATGTGGCCACAGCAGTTTAATTAGAGGACAGATTGTGCCACAGCACTTAGAGCAAATGACAGGCTTTCATCCACATGTGCTAATCAGAACCAGGCAGTTTATGGCAGCAACATCCTGCTTTATTGTTAATTACTGGGTTTTATTAACCTTCAGACGCTTGAAACGTTTTTAAAGATTTACCCACGACAATTAACTGCAGCAATTTATTTGTAATATCGCATGCATTTGGCTTGAATGTGCAATGAGGACCCTTGTTTCAAAGCAGCAGCCGTGAACTCCCACAGTCTATGATGAAACAATAGAATGATTCGAGACACGCTGCTAATTTTCCAAGGCCTCTTGCTGGCTTATAAATTTTACAATTCCAAAGAATCACAATGACCCAGCATTGAG